CTCATTTTAAATCAATACTTTTACTTTTAATATTTAAATACAAAAAATGTCAGATACTTTAAGACTTTTACTCAAGTAATATTCCTAGTTTAACTTTTACCAAAGTAATTCTTTGGTAAGATACTTGTACTTTTACTCAAGTATCACTTTGTGGTACTTTATACAACACTGGCTTTAAAGAAACTTAGAAATGTTAGGAATGTACTACTAGATTAAAATCTGGAGCACACATTAAAAATTTAATAACCTCTGCAAGGTGAGCTGATGGAAAACAGGTAACCTGCTACACCAGGTAAATGATTTTTAAACACAATAAGCATCTAAAATAGGTTATTTTTTTATATAAAATGGCAAGATTTAGGATCTACTTACAGTACATGTACAGGGCACAGGGGCTAGTAACAACCACAAATAGAACACTGACTGCTATCCGAGCTATGATGGCTGCAGAGAGAGCTGTAAAAACAACAAAAAACAAAAGTATTTTATGACACATCTAGTTTGTAAAACAACCTTGGCTGAGCTAACAGGAGGACAAACACTTTCTGCATCAAACCTTGTTTTTACCACCTCCTAAATTCAACTTGTTATCATTTTGAACCCACTTCAAGATGGCCAACACAGCTRTGCAACTTCCTCAAACACAAACAGCTACGACTCAGGAAGTCTGTCAGGTACTGAGCTAAAACTCAACTAATCTGAGCACCAACACATGAGCTGTCACAATCAGACGGGACAGGACGTCCTTCAGAAGGTTTGATCGAAACAGATTTAACTTTGTCCTTTGTTAACAGAAAAATATATTATTTWAAAATGCTGACATGAATATTTTCATTAAAACTTGTTTAGGAATCTATTTTTCAATAACTGTGGACATATCATATTGTTTTTTTGTTTGTTTGTTTTTTCTGTATTTTTTGTCTTTTTATGCTGAATCAATTCAGATCTTACAGTTACGGTCGAATAATTGGGTTCTCCTAAATAATTCAAAKAACAAAATATATTTAACATTTTTTAGTTTGATGCTGATTCAGTYACTGTTACTTTGTGAGTTGTCTAAATGTATATGAAAATACTGACAGTCACCATTTTACATTTTTATTCTTACCTGTTTTTTTCTCACATTGAGTTCTAAAATCTATTTTGTCCTGTTCTGAGCTCACTTGGTTGCTATGGTTACAGATGATGTAGTC